GAGTAAGATTAAAAAGAAATAGTGAACATTAGCCTAACAGGTGGCCGAAATATTTTGTATATCCTTGCTAGAAGGATCAACTGTATAACTGTAGAGACTGAAGAACAATTCCTTGCAAAGCTATAAAGAGACAGAGTAGGTAAGAACTCACTGTGTATTGATTACAAGTCTATCCCACTGTCCCTTAATATCATCTTCTGATGGCTGTTCAGTTATATACAGCCCATCAAATTCCAATTTCCTTGCCACTTCCTTTTCTCTCTTAAAAATAACAAGTGGAACCTGCAGTTGAAAAAAATATCAGGAATTATTGAAAATGCACTGACATGTCTGCAAATTTTTCAGAAAAGCTGGTTGTTATGAAAAATTAAGGTTGTTAGTTAATTAAACTTTTGCTGAACAAAGCAAAAACAGTATTTAACAAAATTAAAAGACACGAGAATTGCTCAGAACACTAAAAAAGTATAGATGCACAAGAACCAGGCCATTCAGAATCATGTAACTACGGTTACCACGAAGTTATAAAAAGATGGCAAAAAACCCTGAAAAGGATCCTTCAAATAAAAATACTTCTTCAGTGCTATGGAGCTATTAGAGCTAGTCAAGTGAAAGAGAGCTAAAATAAACACAATTTTTAAATGCTTAGAAATTCTAGTTCCAAAATATTAATTTGGGATCACACTTCTGGATTGCATTTTGATACCCAGAGGTGTTAGAGGTTGCCTTTCATTTGTTAAAGAATTCTTGAGGTTTTGTAGTGGGAAGCAAAGTGGTTTCACAGCAGAGAGCAAGGAAATACTGTAAGCAGTAAAAGAAAAATCCTTAAATCACATTCACATTCCAGATACTTGATTTGTGCTCTGTAGTTCTTTGCCAGCAGTTGAGACACCTGAGCAGTAAGCATCAGTCTTTACCTACACCTCTCTTTCATCAGCTGGTTGACATTCAAAAGTACATTCCAAGAACGCAGATGTAATTAGTGCTCCCAATGGAGTGTTTTTTTCTTAGAAATCTGTTACCAACAAAAAATAAACCCTGCTCTTCCCTGGAATTATTTCCCAGGTCCCCAAAATTCACCCATCCCGCATTACCCACTTTGACTGTATTACTAGTCAATCTAGACATGAATATACTGTAATAGTAATAACAGAAATTAGACTACCCAGGCAACTTAGTGATTGTATTAAATACAACAACAATAGTTTCAATCTTATTTTCAGACAGCTAATTGAGAAAAACTTAGTGGCTTCCATGAACAGCAATCTCAGAAGCAAACATGTCATACGCAGACCTGCAGTTATGAAGATTTTTGATTTTGGAAGCAGTATATCTACAAAGACAAAGACTAAAACCATATTTGGTCTTTTTTTCAGGGTTTCAGCATTGGAAAGAAGGCAATTCACTATGGCAAATAATCATAATAATGTCTTTCCCTTCTAGTCCCAGAATAAATGTAGCTTGAAAAAACAATGTGGGAAATTAGCATAAAAAGTCATAGTGGAGGGGAAAAAAAAAAATCAGCTATGAGGTGGAAGAAAAAGACATCTCAAAAGCCAGAAATCTAAGCTGTCATGCTGCATGCCAACCAGTGAAACAGGAAAATGTGTTTTAGTATTTATTGATCTGCAAAGACACTTAAGGTAGAGAAGAGAATCAACCACTTAATACAGTGGAATGATGACCATTCGCCTCAACTACAAATGCAGACCATGTCTTTTTTAGCATAGAAAAAGTATCATCCATTAAAAGAGGAAAAGAAAAATATCAAGGACCACATAAAAACTTAATAATGAAATTATAATTGTAAAGACAGATGAGCAGCCATACTGGGCCATAGCAAAGGTTCATTTAATTTAGTACTATCTTACACTTTTACCTATACCTTTTGCCTTGGGAAGAGTGTAAAAATGGGTGAAGTAGATCCCAGGTATACTCCTACCAGGTCCAGAGATTTATGGCATTTGGTCAAACCAGAAGCAGCATTTTGCCAATAAAGGTGGCATCTCCATTTCTTACATCCCTAACAGAGATCTTCTGCAAGATACTCCTTTAAAACGTGCTTAAGATCCTGCAAAAACACTACCACCAGAGTGTGTATGACACATAGGCACTGTCTATAGCCACAACATGCAGTAGCAATAGTCAAAAATGCTGCATGCTTTTCAAATGGCCCAGTTGACAGACTAGTAATGCCGACACTGTCATCTAGCCTCTTCTGGCCATGTGCATTCACAGCTCGTCTTTGACAGTCACAAGCAGTTTCTGATAAAGGTTACTGCTCAGTTGTCTGGCTGACACGGTACAAATGCTGATCCTGTGATCCAGTGTGAGCCCAGAAAATCAGGCTCTGGCCCGTTAACTTCCTGAATTCACACATCACCTACAATTTCTGTGTAAGTTACACTAACAGAATAGTGTTTTCTTTACATGGTCCCTCAAATTTCTATGACTTTGTTCCAAATTATACCACTCAGTGGATAAAAATTTGGGAGCTAGAAGGAAAAACAATGTTCAGTTTTTCTTACTTTCAAACAGTAATACCCTATGATGCAGAAGAATGAGATGACTGTGTGTAGGATGGCCAAAATCCGCAGTGTGGGCTCCATGTAACCACTGCTTTCTTCCAGGACATAATGCACTGCAATGACCCTCTGGTTGTCATTTTCCAGGCTGTTCAACTTAATACTTTCACCAGCAGATACCACAGGAACTTCCTTTTCTTCTGTCACAGCAGAGGTGGAGACCTGTTTAAATCGTTTAATCTTAGTATTACAGCTGTATTCCTTTAGCAGGAGCTTTACACTAGTACAAGCTAAGTAGTATAACTGGAAACAATGATACCAAGGAAAATATAATTGTGAGGAAAGAATTTTTTCCATAAAAATGTCCACAGAGAATACCTCACAGAGACCCTTTCATCTTCTTACATCAATCTGTGACAGTGTGCTCTTTTTTTTTTTTTTCCCACTCTCTGACAAAGGTAGCAAATTTGGGCCATGCTGAATTTTATAACCTCAAATTCAAGAAAGGGCATAGCCCTCTCAGAAGAAACCCAGTCAACTTCTGACATTCCCACATGTAGTCTTTATCAGCAGGGCTCTGACAGAAACTGATTTGAGTCTGAAGACTCTAGGTTGTATTAATGATACTAAAAGTCTTGACAAAGAAGATAGGTGATATTCGAGGCATCTTAAGATGATGTGACTACTCCTTGCTGCACACACGCTCTCAGGGGAGCAAAAACACACAAGAAAACATCTCAGCTGACATGCATTAGTTTAAGTTGCCAGTGAAGGCTGGGCTTGGCTGAGTCATTGTACTGTGCAATGGAGCATCTGAGGCATGGGTACACCTTCCAGTCTGCTGCCTCTGTTGCAGCACAGAACTTTCTGAATAGCTATTTGTGTACCGGAAGTCTATTATTACTTCACACAAACACTTCAGTTCTCGCCGTGTTAGATTTCTAAAGCAGCAATATGAAGCAAGTATTTGATCTGTTAGTCCAGTCAGTTTTACCGTAGAATACCATCTACAAAATCTGAATGTTTTTCAGTATACAACTTGAAAAGTAATATTTTGACAAGTTTACCTTATAGAAAAGCAGGATGAAGTTGATGGCAAAAGCAACAAACAACGCCAACATCCTCATGTTGTAAAAGTTTCGGGCAAAATAATTCTGAAAATAGAATCACTGAATCATTAAGGTTGGAAAAGACCTTTAAGATCATCAAGTCCAACCACCAACCCAACACCACCACGCCCACTAAACCATGTCCTAAAGTGCCACATCTACACATTTCTTGACATCTTCCAGTGATGGTGACTCCTCCACCTCCCTGGGCAGCCTGTTCCAATGCCTGACCACCCTCTCAGTAAAGAAATTTTTCCTAATATCTAGTCTAAACCTCCCCTGGTGCAACTTGAGGCCGTTTCCTCTCATCCTATTGATACTTACTTGGGAAAAGAGACCAACGCCCACCTCACCACAACCCCCTTTCAAGTAGTCATAGAGAGCGAGAAGGTCTCCCCTCAGCCTCCTCTTCTCCAGACTGAACAACCCCAGTTCCCTCAGCCGCTCCCCATAAGACTTGTGCTCCAGACCCCTCATCAGCTTTGTTGCCCTTCTCTGGACATGCTCCAGCACCTCAATGTCCTTCTTGTAGTGAGGGGCCCAAAACCGAACACAGGATTCGAGGTGCGGCCTCACCAGTGCCCAGTACAGGGGCACAATCGCTTCCCTACTCCTGCTGGCCACACTGTTTCTGATACAGGCCAGAACATAAATAAGCTTTGCCTAAAAATGATACCACAATCATTATTAGGTTGTTGCACGGGTGTTTTTTTTTTGTTTGTTTGTTTCCCCTATGGAGCTTTTTAATAGAATTATTACAGAAGGAAAAAAAAAAAAAGTCAAATATTTTGAGTGATGTATCATATAAATTCTCACCTACTCCATATGTGCAATAATGGATAAAGGACCTTTTTGTTCCACCCCACGCAGAAAGGGATGAAGGATTTCTAATTGCCTCTTACATCTTTTTCATTATCCTCTCAATACACTTAGAGACAACACAGAGACATCAGAATATGCATATGGCAAATTTTTACTTTTATGAAGAAATAAAAGTGTCTGTATATAAGTTTATTTTAAATCTTGTTCTATTCCAAAATCAATTGTGTTTTTACCAGATGAGCAAAAAGTTCATCTGTGACCTAAGTACCATGAGTAGAGAGCTTCTCTCACATTATGATGCTATCAAAAGGATTGCAGAAATGCACCTTTTCCCTTCCTGACAATTCACAAACCTTTCTAGCACACATTTTGAATGCTTTAACTCTCACATGGGAATTCCTCCATTTTTCATCCCTAACCATAGTTGACTATTAGTGAATTATTAAATGAGACTATTAGAAGAAAAATTAAATGAAATTCACAACTGCTACATGATAAGCCTAAAAAATTAATCTGAGTTCACAAGCAAAACTTAAAAATCTAATTCCTTATTAAGATTGTGTAGGCTGTCCCTACACAACTGTATCTACCAGATATATCGCAAAAGTGTATTTCTTTTTGCTTTGCATTTCACACTAGCCTCACACAATATCTGTGGAATCTCTTAGCTAATAAAAGCATGGTTTTTAAATATTTTTACAGCAAACTCAGGGATATAATATTTTACTTAGACACTCTCAGACAGTTATAGTATTTTAGTTAGTCTTATTTTTCACAGGTTTTTAGAAGTTTCTCAAATAATAATAATGTTCTATTTCACAAAAAAAATCTATAACATCTTTTCTTATGAGTTTTAGGCTAAGCATTGTCTCTTAACAAATTATTTTAATAGAAGAGCTTGTCATTTCCCAAAATTGCCTCTCAGGAAAAGACTCACAATCAGATTCACAATCTTCTGTGAAAATCTGGGACATTTTATTCACATAAAAATGCATGGCTGTTTTCCAGTGAAGGACAGGGATCTCTGAAAGTCTGGGTTTTGGACAATAATTGTCTTCCTAAGAATTAATATCTTGTCTACTAAGTTATTTGTGTGTTTCTTTTCTCTAACATTCCAGTTAAACCTCTATGTCCTTTTTATGGATGATGGTGGATAGAAAAATGAGGTTCATCAGATGCAAATTTGTGTTTACACTGGTAGAATAATCCATGCCTGCCAACAGCTAAACACATAGTCTAGAGAACAACTTACAAGAAGCTTCTGTTGGTATGCAATGATTTTCTTCCAGAAAGCTGATTCCTGAACTTCTGGTTCTCCATATCTGTGAGTATGAACTTGTCTTAACTTCTGTTTCCCTTTGTCTTCCTTGCCTTTCTCTTCTTTTTCTCCATCTTCTCCTCTTAGAACACAAAAGAAGCCAAAATAATATGTCAAGTTAATAAAATTGCTAAACAAAAGATTAAAACCAAACCCTGAAAGAGGCCATTGCATCTTTTTCATGAGGCTCAAGTAGTCATGACTGATGCACTTCACACACATGAATAACAAGGAGACACACTCCTCTTCAGCACAAAGCACTAGCAAGGGTGACAGTCTGGTTAAGTATACAGATAATTAAAGTTACTGGTTTGGCAACTGGAAGAGAGGATGCTAACTAGCAGAGGCAGGTAATCAAGAACCTGCCAACTTTATTACCTGAGGGTCTGCTTCATAATTGTGCAGCTAATACTTGTGCTGACAAACATCTGTAAGCTGACAGCTGTAAGTCCACTCCAACCTTATGCTCTTGAACTATCTGGTTCCCATAAACGTTGCAGAAAACTGGTTCGTCTGGCATTTTCAAGACAAACCTCAAGTTTTAAATTCTGCATTTCTGCCCACCTAAGCAATTTGTAAGTACCCACTCCAGGAGGAGCCAGGAATAAGAATGCTTAACAGCATTCAATGTGTAATTATCACCATGCTGCCCGATTACAGAAATTCATAGTGGGCTGCCTTCTCCAAACACACGATCTAAGGAACCTATCTTAGAAGTCAATTTGAACTGACAGCATGATAGATGAAAGGATCACAGAAGTCCATCTGAAGCTAAACCAGAGTGAGAGGTAACTTGTACATTATATTATTAATTTCTCTGTACCTATCTACAAACAGAATAACTGATGTCCTAAGCTGCTTCTCTTACTAGAACACACTCGACAAACTTTCACTTGAAAGTTCACTTGAAAGTTTGTCTTATGTTAGGAGCGGCTTCAGGGCAGCTAATAGTGCCGGGCACTGCACCTCTCAGAGAATACAGGTATCATGGCAAACCGCACAGTCAAGCAGAACAATCAACGGTGAAGTGACCTGCAAAAGTCGGGAAGACTCTCCTTCACAAAGTTATACTGGCTGAGTTAGAAATCTGCTGTACTGATTAGGAAGAAGAGCTTTTGTTACTGGCAAGTGTTTGTCATCCCAGGAGAGCAATACAGATAGACTGTATACAGAGACTAAGTGACCCACTTAGAATTTTGACAGTGACATATCAGATACAAGAACTGTACACGTAGCAGAATTGTACATGTATGAGGAACCACAAAATACAGGGGTGAAGTGCCATACTTTTTAGTGGTTAAAACCAAGCACTATGTTTTGCTTTCCACTATTTTTATTCTGAGTTAATCTCATTAACATTAGACTTTACATATCTTAAAAAGATTTAAATGATCTTTTATCAAATGCTAACACTTGTTCTTCATAAAGATGTGGGAGTACTCAGTAACTAATTAAAATTACATTGAAATATTAAGGTTTTGCAAAATTCAAAAAACTCAAAACAGGTCATAGGAAATGGGAGGGGCAATTCCCTTGATACAGCCTCTACCACTGATGGATAATAAGTCTCTGGAATCCAGGTGCTCTTACGATTTTTCCAAAAGATTTTCTTCTAGCTTTTGGACTTGCCAAGAAAAGCTTACTCAGTCAAACACATTCTGAAAGAAACTAAATTGACATTACAAAGGATGCTGCTGCAAGAGGGAAATTCATAAAATCTCTAAGTGATGCCATTTACATGGCATTTCCATGCTAATGTGCACAGATGTGAAGGACAGTCCAAAAAAAATCCTAACTGTGGAATATGAATGGATACAAAGTTAAAGGAAAAGCAGTAAGTACAAATCAAGCTGGTTTCTCAGTGAAACAATCCGACATTTCATAGGATCAGAGATTAAAGTCATACATACTCTGCTTTTTCTGGTTCAGATTTTGTTTCTTCCTTCTCTTCCTTTTCATCTTCTTTCACCTGCTCCTACAGAAAGTCAGATTCAAAAAAGTGTCTAAACAGTACAGAGTTAGTTAAAAGGATACAGAGTGCAGAATGGTAGGCTTTTTTTTTTTTTAAGAATTGCAACCCTGAGAGAAGATGATCCTCCATTTTACATTAACGAAGAGACATTTTAACACTGAATTAAAAGCAAACCAAAACACCATGTACTTAGAGAAGGCTGTGGGAATTCAAGCTTATGATGTCAGAGAGGGTAAACACGAGTGATGTGATTCCTTAAAATACATGTCACAAAACCCAGAAAAACATAGATACAATTTTTGTTTCAAGACTATACTTAACATATGAAAGAGAGAAACATACAGC